GCGCGATCGCGAGGGGCCCGGTGAGCCCCCAGCGCTACGGCACCATGGTACGCAGGGCCCTGCCTGTCCCTCCGCTTATCCGCCCACCGACCGCTCGCTCTGCCCGGGGGAGTGCCCGCCGTGGGGACTCGGGGTGGCGGGATCCTCCCCGCCCCGTGGTCTCCCCGCCCCCATCGCCAGGGTGTCCCCCCCACGCCGCCCCCCAGGGGGCCAGGAATGCAGCAGAGGCCCTAAGCAGAAACGGGGTTAAATTCCTGGGGTTGGGGGTTCCTGTGCCAAAGACTGAGGTCCCTTTTGGCACGGAGCCGAGGGGGGCACTTTTCTGAGTCCAGATGGCGCTGTCCTCATGCTGAGTGTTAGGGGCGTTTGGGGGGGTGATCGGATTCCCGCCTGGGCCTCTGTCCACGTGGGCGCCTGAGCCGCCGTGCATGGGGCTTGGGGCAGCAGGGGCAAGGATAAGGGGGGCTGCCATACCTCGGGTCCAAACTCCTGTGTGACCTTGGACTGATCTCCCGCCCTCTCTGGGCTGCTTCCCAGGGTGGGGTGTAGGGCAAGGGGCATGCAAGGGCGGAGGGGGCCTGCAGAGACACCATCTCTCCAGGACCAGGAGCCCGCAGGTCTGGGATTGGAGGTCCTAGCCCGGTCTGGGCCCACCCACTGCTGCCAGGGCCCTGGAAGGTGTAGTGGGAGGGGGTGGGGACCAGGGGTTTTCATCCTGGAGCCTACAGGGAAATGCTGGGGAGGCGTAGCCGGTGGTTTTTGTCATGGGACCAAGTACGAAGGCCCAGGTACAGAAGAGGAGGCTGTAGTAGTCTCCCACGCTGGGCCAGCCCCTGCATGGCTTAGGGGAGAGTTTTTGAGGACACTGCCCCTTTGGCCTGCATCTAGCTAGCCTAGGGCTGCTGGCACCCTGGGGTGGAGAGAGGGTGTGCACTGCATTCTGCAGATCCATCTGGGGGCGGGCAGCCACAGCTGTAGAAAGCTGCCACATCTGGCTGGGGAGACTGCTACAGCTGAGGAGCACCGACCGGAGGCAAAGGGGCAGTCCTGCTCCGGCTTGAGGCTGCCACTTAGTGTGCCCTGCCACCAAGTTCGGTCGGGGTCCCTGTCCCCTCAAGGCCCCAGACAGTGGTGGCTTCCCCTGTCTGCCTTAGGAATGGGAGCCTTTACAGTGACATCATCCCCTAGGCTTGCCCTCTCTGCCCCCTGAAGGGAGATAGCTTGGGGCGGGCATCGTGGAGGCCTTGGGAAAGCTTGCCACTGCCCTGCCACCCAATCAGGTGTCCACTGAAGAGTGTTCCACCCAGCAGGAAGGTGGTCTAGCGCCCCGGGGCCTACTAGGGCCTTCCCTTGTCAGGCCTGGCTTTCCCTAGCCTTTATTAGGGTCACTTACTCTGTCCTTTTCTGACCCCTTGAGGCCCCAAGAAGCCCTGGTGGCATAGTGGTTAAATGCTCTCCTGCTGAGAGGTTGGGCGGTTCAAATCCACCAACTGCCCGCTGGATGAAAGATGAGGCAGGCTGCTCCCATGATGATTTAGGGAGGCTAGGAGGTGGCAGGGATTCTGTGGTGGTGGGTTCGGAGGTCTCTGACAGGCCTGTACACCGTTACAACTCAAGTTGAACTCAGACCCTTCCCTGACATACCGGTGCCAGGGTCTCTGGGGAGGAGGCTGGGTCATCTGGGGTAGTGCTGGGAACCCAGGAAGCCCAGTGAGTCTCCCTCAGATGGGATGGTGTCTCCGGGGCCCTTTTATCCAGGGCCGTGAAATACAGCCACGTGGATGGGGTGTCTGATCCAGGGAAGCCAGGTAGCTACCGCTCCCTGTGCCACTTCCCACACCGAGCCTCAATTTCCCCATCTTTTCCGTAGAGGGTTAGTCCCAGAGGATGAATCAGAGCGAGTCAGAGAAGGAAGATGTGTGGGGCCTGGGGCCACATCCCTGGCTTAGATTGGCCATGTCTAGACCGGCCAGCAACCCTGCAAGAGAGGGGCCGATGGGTGGTCTCTTGGCTGATGGTAGGGCTCGGGGGGTGAGAGGGGATGTGGAAGAACTCAAGGAAGAGGGCAACCGTCTTCAGGGGGCTGGCCAAGCTGGGGTTTGGGTGCACAGGATGGACGCTGGCCAGGCATGGAGAACACAGCCCTGGTAGGTTCCCATTCAGATGCCACCACCCATCTGCTGCCTGGGAGCTAGCGGGACGTGGGGGTAGGCTGTGGATGACCAGGGTTGGTTCAATCCCAGCGCCTCCAGGGAGGCTGGGGTGGCGTGGGGATGATGGCTTTGTTCAATGGAGCAAGGTGCCCTCGTGTGCAGGCTGCTGAGGGAGCCAAGCCTGGAAGGCGTGAGCTTGGGCGGGTAGGTAGAATTGTGGGCCAGCTGCTGTGGAACCTGTGGCGGGGCAGGCTGCCTATCTGCGGGGCCCGCTTTTGGGGAGACGCTATGGGCGAACCTGGGTTGAGTGAGCTGTGCCCCATGCTGAGCAATTCAGACGTGACCTGGGGAGCCTGACAGTCTGACCCATCTGACTCTGAGGAGCCTCCCTAAAGGAAGTTCCAGGGGGCCCCAAGTGGTGTGAGCCCCAAGATGGGAGTATCCCAGAGCCCTGGTGGGAGAAGGGTCCAGGATGGTCCCAGGGACCTCCTGCCTTGATTGTGGTGGGCAGCTAACATAACTGGGTGCCCCACAGAACCCCCTATCTGAGAACAGGACCTGCCTGGAGTCAGGCCTGTGGGGGAGGGAGGTCACCCACCCTGCCCAAGATGTGACGACGAGTGAGGGCCACCTTGGATAGAGCAGCAGGACCAGGGTGGGGACACTTCACAAAAGGTTCCACTGGTGTGGGCCCTGGTCTGGTTCTAGGCCCTGAGAACCCCCCCCCGCCCTCCCCCACCCCTCCCCCACCCCCCCACCCCCGCCCCGTTGGTGAGGTGGAGACCTGCTGTGTGTGCTGCAGTGTCTGAAACAGGCAGCCTCCTGCGAGTGTGCGAGTGGGTGTGTGGCAGAGGTTCATGGGAGCTCTGGAGATGCTGGAGGAACGGTTAGGCCCTGTCTAGGGTGACCAACTAGCCCTCGTTTATCCAGGCCCGTCCTGGGTGGAGGCCTGAAAGCCCCAGATCCCGGGAAGCCCTTCCGTCCTGGGCAGGGGGAGATGGCTGGTTCCCCCGGCGCGCCTCTTCACCCTCTCCCAGATAACCATTTCCCGTTTCACAGGGGAAGAGCTGGAGGCCTGGAAAAGTTAGCTGACTGGGCCAGGAGCTGACCTCCAGCAGCAGAAGGCCCCGCCTGGGCAATGTGGCCCGCACTCCATGGGGCTCCACTCCCCACTTCCCGGAGGGCCTCCGGCTCTTCTGCTCATGGGGCAGGAGTGATGATGGGCACTGCCGGGCGGTTGGGGGGGGCCGCCAGGGGAGGGCAGCCCTCCCCTCCCCGCCAGCCAGCCTTGACCCTGCTCCCATGCCCTCCACCCCCACAGTTGCTGGTTGAGAAGACGACGGACTCTCCGGCGGCCGAGTTCTCGCTGGTGGAGGACGTGGCTCTGCACTTCGCCTGCTTGATGGGCCGCCTGAACGAGCAGCGCCTCTTCCAGCCCGACCTGTGCGACGTGGACCTGGTGCTGGTGCCCCAGCGCAGCGTCTTCCCGGCACACAAGGGCGTGCTGGCCGCCTACAGCCAGTTCTTCCACTCGCTCTTCACCCAGAACAAGCAGCTGCAGCGCGTGGAGCTGTCCCTGGAGGCCCTGGCGCCGGGTGGCCTGCAGCAGATCCTCAACTTCATCTACACGTCCAAGCTGCTGGTCAACGCCGCCAACGTGCACGAGGTGCTCAGTGCCGCCTCGCTGCTGCAGATGGCCGACATCGCCACATCCTGCCAGGAGCTGCTGGATGCCCGCTCCCTGGGCCCCCCGGCCTCCTGCACTGTGGCCCTGCCCCAGGTGGCTGGCGGCAGCGGGGACGGCACCCCAACTGCACCTCCCTACTATTGCGACATCAAGCAGGAAGCCGATGCCCCAGGCCTGCCAAAGATCTATGCCCGAGAGGGCCCTGACCCATACTCGGTGCGGGTGGAGGACGGAGTGGGGACCTCGGGGGGCACGGTGTCCACGGCCATTGGGCCGACACCTCCCTTCTTCAAGGAGGAGAAGGAGGGTGGCGTGGAGGAGGCTGGCAGGCCCCCGGCTGCCCTGTGCAAGCTGGAGCAGGAGCTAGGGGCAGCCGGCACCTATAGCCGCCGGGAGCAGTCCCAGATCATTGTGGAGGTGAACCTCAACAACCAGACGTTACACGTGTCCACGGGCCCCGAGGGGACGCCGGGCAGCCCGGGGACCAGCCCGGCCACCATGGTGCTGGGACGAGAGGATGGTCTGCAGAGACACTCGGAGGAGGAAGAGGAGGAGGAGGAAGAGGAGGAGGCTGGTGGCAGTGGAGTGGAGGAGGAAGAGGAGGAGGGGAGGGAGGAAGAGGAGGAGGGTGGCAGTCAAGAAGAAGAGGAGGAGGAGGAGGAGGAGGAGGAGGAAGGGCATAGTGAGCAGGAAGAGGAAGAGGAGGAGGAAGGACACAGTGAGCAGGATCCAGAAAGCTCGGAAGAGGAGGGGGAGCCCGGAAGCAGGCAGGTACCTGCAGGGCTGGGGGGACCCCGAGGCAGCCAGGTGGACCCACCTACCCACAGTCGCATGGCCACACGGTCCCGGGAAAATGCACGGCACAGAGGCACTCCTGAGCCTGGGCAGCGGAGTGGGAAGCGGCCAAAGGCACCCCCAGGCGCAGGCCCCCCACCAGCACGAGGGTCGCCTGAGTCTGACGGGCTGGGGGCCAAGGTGAAGCTGGAGGAGAAGCAGCACCACCCATGCCAGAAGTGCCCGCGAGTCTTCAACAACCGCTGGTACCTGGAGAAGCACATGAACGTGACCCACAGCCGCATGCAGATCTGCGACCAGTGCGGCAAACGCTTCCTGCTGGAGAGCGAGCTGCTGCTGCACCGGCAGACGGACTGTGAGCGCAACATCCAGGTGGGCCTCACCTGCCGCCCACCCCGCCCCGCCCCAGCCTGACAGGCCAGCCACCTAGCTTCTCGGGAAGGGGGGCCAGGAAGGCTTCCCAGGAGAGGTGAACCGAGCTTGGCTTGGGCACGTGGAGCAGACTGGAATAAACAGATCCCTGGGTGGGAAAGGCAGAGGTGAGCAGGGACTTGTGGGAGCAGGAGAGGGAGCCAAGGAGACGGCAGACTCCGGCAAAAGAGGAATCAGGCGGCTGTCGGTCCCTGGGGCTGCAGCTCACCAACAGGGCAGCCCTGTGTCCTTGTGCAGGCTGTGCACTGCGCAGAAGCATGCGTGCAGGGAGGGACTGGCATGGAGGGACCACCGTGTGCCACTTCCCCAGGGTGAGGTGTAGAGCAGGGGACACTCCGGCAGGGTGCCCCTTGTCCCTCTCCACCACCACCCACCCACACACACTCACTTCTTTGGCAACATGGGCAGGCTAGGCCCTGAATGAGAATGTAGGCAGAGAAGGGCCTGCTGGGGAGCTGGGCTGGGGGCGAGAGGCAGGGGGAAGGCACCAGCCAAGCTCCCATGGGGAGTGTATTAGTCTAGGTACTTTGGAGAAACAAATCCACAGCGACTCATGTATAAGAGAGAGTTTTATGTAAAGAAAATGTGCATCACGAAAACATCCCAACCCAATGCTGCCCAAGTCCACAAGTCCAACATTAACCCATTAACCCAACACCAGTCCACAAAGTTCTCCACCTCACAAAACAGAGGCAATGATGCCCACTGCAGGAGGAAAGCTGAGTCCGTGAACGTGTAAGCATCTCAGCACTGGCAAGGGTCTCCACATGGCTGCTCCAGCACCCAGGGCTGCATCGGGGTAGATCCATGCGGCTTCTCCTTGGGGATGTCTTGGAGGAAGTCAATCTTGCAAGCTGAAGCAGGGAACTGCTAAGGCAGCTGCACCCGATTGCGCCCTTCCCAAAGCAAGGGCCCCAGGACTAGAAAGGCGAGGCTTCACCACCCATTTATCCCTCCGCCTTTCAACCAGCACCACATGTGATTATTGGCCAGGCTGGCACAATTAACTAACTCAGGGAGGTTTTACTTTGCCTGGTCCAGGAGCCGGGAGGTTCAGGTAGGCGGGTGCTAATTGCGTGAACTAATTGCGGTGCCCAGCGGAGAAAGCATCACCAGGGGTTTACCTGGTAACCTGCCCTGCCATTGTGCACCTGTTCCCACTTGCCTGCCTGCTGGGCTGCCCTGCCGAACACCTGAGCCACCTCCTGAAGGGGCGGAAAGCTGTGGCCCCTTCCCATCTGTGCCTCCTGGCCCACGCTCTTTCTTGAACCCTGACCTCATCTCTAGCCCTCTATGGGTGTCCTGCAGGGACACGAATCAACCAGGAACCCTGGACCACAGTCCAGGGGCCACAGGCCGGGATGCGAGTGTGGCCCCTCTGCTTCCCACGCCCCTCCCCTGCCTGCTAGGACCCAGCCCCTCCTGTGGCCCCCCAGCCAGCCCCTCATGTGTAGTCCGTATAGGACCCAGCAGGGCAAGGCAGCAGAGAATGCTCCCGCCCTGTGGAAGCTGTCACCTTCGAGGTGACCCCCTGCAGCCAGATGTCTGTGTGCTCTGGGCAGACATGCTGAGTGAGCAAGGGGACCCCTGGGCCTCCAGAGGTGGAGGGAGAGAGCCCCAGAGAGCTGGGTGGGTGGCGGGTGTTCAGGGAGTCTCCCTGTCCCACTCCCACAACATCCGGGCTGGCAGTCTCAGGGAGGCAACTGAGGCCCCACACCACACAGTCCCGACCCAGGCTTCTCACCCTGCAGTGCATCACATGCGGCAAAGCCTTCAAGAAGCTCTGGTCCCTGCATGAGCACAACAAGATCGTGCACGGCTACGCGGAGAAGAAGTTCTCATGCGAGATCTGTGAGAAGAAGTTCCACACCATGGCCCACGTGCGCAAGCACATGGTTGGTGAGTCGGGGTGGGAGGGTGGCTCGGGGTGGCTCTGCCAGCACGGGCTCCATCCTGCCGAGGACTCGGGGTGGGCAGGAGGCCCTGCTGTGCTGGGAGGCCTGGGGAATCCGGTGGCAGTGGCAGGTGGGGTATGGACTGGCTCTGGGGGCAGGACTGCCCAGCACAGTGCAGCGGGTCACACACTGTGTGCAGAGATGCCCAGGCCGGTGTATCCAGGCTGGTGCCAGGCTCTGTGAACCAGCGTGAGGTTCTGTCGGTTCCCCACCAGGAGCACCTTTCTAAAAATGAACGTTGAATTCTGGGGTGGCCGGGGTGGACATTGGGCCCTCAGCCAGGCCCTGTCCCTCCATTCTCCACTAGCGACTAGCCTCGGGGGAGGACCTCCAGGGGAGCTGACTGGGAGCCAGGATCCAGCCTAGGTTCGGCCAGGTACGGGTGTAGGGGTCCTGCTCAGCTCCGAGCTCAGCATGGGGGTGAGGAGGGTCCCTATCTCTGGTCGTCACCTCCCTCATTCATCCCTGGGTTCTGGGGGACTGGGCCGTTACCAGCCATCCCTGTGAAGCCCATCTACCTTTGACATGTCAGTGCAGTTGGTGTCAGCCCAGTGCAGAGGAGCGTGCGGAGGTCAACGGCTGCCCGGGAGCTAGTGTACGCTGTTTCCCCTCATACATCGGGCTCCTTCAGTCTCCCCCAAAGCTGCAGGCTTCGGGCGGCCTTAGCTGTTCCTCTGAGCAGGGGCTGAAGACCCAGGAGGGCCCCTGCCACCTCCAGGGCACAGAGGGAGACCTAGCTCCTGGAGGGCAAGGACTTGTCGGCCAATCCTTCCCTGAGGGAACCTCAGCTGGGTCCTTGGAGCAGACCCCTGGCCTCAGGGGTAACTGACCTAGGGCTGGCCGTTGTCAATGCTGGGAGAAAGGCTACCAGGTTAGGCCCTTGGGGAGGCCGTTGGCCATAGGGCCATGCCAGGAGGTGATGTTCAGGTCCCAATAGGAGGGGGATGCTCAGGCCGGGTTCCCCTGCGAGGCACCATGGGGATTTCCCCCCAACATGACGACTATGGTGCCGCCTCGTAGCCCACACCAAGGACATGCCCTTCACCTGCGAGACCTGCGGGAAGTCCTTCAAGCGCAGCATGTCTCTCAAGGTGCACTCCCTGCAGCATTCAGGAGAGAAGCCCTTCAGGTGTGAGGTGAGTGCCCAGTGACCCTGCCCGGGGCCGCTGAGGAGGTGGGAGAGTGGGGGCAAGGCAAGCAGCTGCTGCCTCCCAGCCCTGGGCCTGGGGACATTGGGGCACAGCTGCAGAATGGGGAGACCCGACCCTCCATCCTCTGGTTTGTCCCCACCCCACCCTCTGCTCTTGCAGGTGTTAGTGGGTTTATGATCCAACCTGCGCCACCCTGGATCTCTGGGCATGGAAGGGGGCCCTGCCAGGCTTTAGTGGGACGCAGGCTCTCTGGAGAGGTGGAGACAGGGGTGGGGTGCGATGGGAAAAGGGAGGGACCACAGGCCTTCCTGATCCTGCCTCCCCTCCGGCCCTGCACCACCTTCCCCCCAGAACTGCAACGAGCGCTTCCAGTACAAGTACCAGCTGCGTTCCCACATGAGCATCCACATCGGCCACAAGCAGTTCATGTGTCAGTGGTGTGGCAAGGACTTCAACATGAAGCAGTACTTTGACGAGCACATGAAGACCCACACAGGTGCGGGCGGGCAGGTGCGGGCCCCGCCCAGGACGCCCAGAGGCTGGGGAGGGCTGGTGGCCAGGCTGAGCCCCACGAGTGACCCTTTGTTGTCCGCCCGTCCCCTACCCCCGCCCACCCCCCAGGGGAGAAGCCCTACATCTGCGAGATCTGCGGGAAGAGCTTCACCAGCCGGCCCAACATGAAGCGGCACCGGCGCACGCACACGGGCGAGAAGCCCTACCCCTGCGATGTCTGCGGCCAGCGATTCCGCTTCTCCAACATGCTCAAGGCGCACAAGGAGAAGTGCTTCCG